CATTCACCAGCCTGTTAATGGAAAAGCGGAAGTCTGGCATAACCACATTACGTCTGGCTTTTCCTTTTGGCTAGAATGAAGTCCATGGGTGGTCTTGTGAAGCGAAACGCGCTCCACGGGTTGATCTTGACTAGCTTGTCAGCTGCTTAAGGTTGCATGTCCTCTGTCGCCATGGTATGGCGACAGAGCGGGACCCAAGGCGCCGATCTGTGGGGGGAGGGGCGGGGGTGGGTGAGGGGGCCACCGGAGACCGGGCAGCTGCGCACTGAACTTCGGCACAACTTCAACTGCCCCTTTGTACTGTTCATACGGAGCATCACGGAGTTCACGAGGAGCATTGCCTCGCGCGTTGTCACGCGTGAGGAACCAGTCGCTGAGGCCTGAGCTTATGTGCTGATGTGTACCCAATGCGCTACCTGCGCAGAATCGGAGAGTGAACTTCGCTATCCGCTTCGGAGTCCAACGATTGTGTTGGTGGTGTGACTTCTGATTTCGGTGTACCAACGTCTGGGAGTGCATAGCTCGTCCCATCTGGCGGCCATACAAATCGATCCAGGGAGCGTCTGTGAAAACTTCCATCACATGCACACGGAGGATGATGACGCACCCTGGAAGCAATCCGTTCATTCCTCTCTGTGAAGCTTTCACTATCTCCATCATCGCCGAGGAAACAATTTGAGTACCATGACCACTGTAATGATTTGGCTATTTAATGAACTGATGCTACCTGAAACATCAGAAACGCAGATACCGGATCTTCGCGTGCGGATGATAAGCACTATCCATCTGGTCACATGTTTTATTTCATTTCAGCCGCCACTTAAGCGTTGCATGGATATATGATAGCTCTCAGGGTATGTAGATTCTCTTCATGACCCCAGAAGGCTTGTCACGACTGGGATTCCGGCTTCTGGACGCTTCGCAATGGCTGCCAAGCTGTGAACGATGCTAACGCAAAACCTTTGAAACAATCAGCTATCGGTGTCTATGATGGTAGAAAGTACAATTTGCTGCAGATTATAACCGTATTATCAATGCTTGGAAATAGACCAAGGAGCATGGATGCACATTTTGAAATAGAGCAATAAGCATATCTTACTCATTTGCTTGAGATGAGGGGTGGGAGAAGCGGATGTTATAGGTATTTCATGAGGTTATTTTCGGATTACCAGCGCCACGCATCTCTCGAAGGATTATTGTTTGTGGCCTCATCACAAAATGCCGAGATGCAGATTGAGCTCAAACACAATTGTTTCCGGCAGTCTCAGTTGCGGTGCATGCTGGGCGGTTTCAAGATCTCATCGCGTCCTGCGATGCCCATCTCTGCACACCAATTGCGATCCGCAGCCACCCGTGCTTAAACCGTTCCTCGCTTCTTGCTGCTTCCCACCGTTTTGTCCAGTGACTGTCCGCTGTGCCATTTCACTGTGATATCTGATCTCAGCTGGCCTTGGCTTAGGTCTGTTGTTGTTTTCTTTTGTGCTCTTTTTCTGAATTCCATTGTGCTGATAGTGCCCACACCACATTCGGTCCCTGCAATCGCCGGTCACCAGCGGTGCTGCACGGTTGAGGACACAATGCAGGGCCGAACTTCCCGCATCGAGCCCGTTCAGCGTCGCGGCGCGTCACGCAACACGACACCGCCGGGATCACGACACCGCCGGCTGGCAGAGCGAGGCTCGTCCACAGCCGACACTGCCGGCTGGCAGAGCGAGGCTCGTCCGCAGCCGGACCGAGCGCCGCCACCCGCTCTCGCGCCGGGCAGGCCGGCGCTCGACCCGTCCAGGTTGCCACCTGGCCCTGGTGTCATCCCGCACACAATGCGGCGTCGCCACGCGCAGACGCGCGCCTGACCCCGTATTCGGGCCGAGGTGAGCCAGCGCCGCCCCCGCTCTCGCTCCCTCCTCCGGGGCACCGGTCCCGGCGGCAATGACCCCGCCGGCGGCACCTGTCCGCGCGTGCGCCGTGCTGCCGGCGGCCGCCCGGTTTTTGGGCGGCGCACAGACACGTCCGGAGCGCGGGTCTCGCCGCTGGCGGCCGGCGGAAGCCCGAGAGGGTGCGTGCGCTCAGGCCCAGTGGATGGGCCACCGGTCTTGCGTGCAGGGGCAGTCGGCCTGCAAGCGTTGCCTGATATTACCGTGCGACGGCGATGGGAGGGTGTCTGGATGCAGCCTATCAGAATTCAGACATTGAATGCTAGCTGGGCGGAGAAGGCTGTTTGCCCTTCGTTAGTTCGGCACCTGATGTCTATCCAAATCTGTCTTCGTCCAAGTAGGTGCTCATGAAGGTTGCGAGTCAGCTGATACCATAAAGAATGGTGGTTCACGGCTCGGGTCGAGATGTATCGTGCGCGTATAGACAATTTGAGTACAAACTGCCCATTGTCTTTTCATACGGTTTGCTGCTACGTGTCATGTACCTATTGCACTTGCTCGGCCGTGAAGTGGGCGTACCGTGAATAGCAATGACTTGTGAAAACCGTAGTTTAGGCCATGGGTCGGCACCCATGCCTGCGGTTTCCAGTCGTTAGTTTTACTAGAGCGTGATCCCCAACTCGTAAACGCACTCTCCGGCCTTCGTAAAATCCGTAAGCTTAAATGCTCAATTTCGCTACACAAATTCACAATATTACCCTCAGAACTGTGAAACGGTTCGATGAGTTCCCCTTACGTCATGTCCTTTTTGATAAACGTACGTCCAAGAGCGTCACACTGCATGGAGCTGCGCACGTGTACCGCGCCGGTCTGCTCACTCTCCCCCCCCCCTCCCCCCCCTCCTCCCGTGGTGTGTGCCTTACCAGGGTGACACCGTCGATAAACCGACAGACCTCGGCCCTCTGTTGTGACCATGAAGACCCGGCTGTTAGACATCAGATTGGACTGTTTTCAGCCGCGCGCCGGCTGAGGCGACGGGTCGGAAAGATCATCAGATGACCATTACAGATGCTGACTTGCCCATCCTGATCCCAGCCAATTTATCTCGGGCGGAAAATACGAATATTGCCATGTTGGGCCGTGCTATGGCCTTGACCTTGTGCTCCTCGTGGGCATCTGCCAGAATTCCCCGGTCTGACCCGTAGCGTGACCCGGACATGCCGAACATGCCGTCCAGTCGACACCATGGGATGTCCAACACCGCAGTATATGCTCTTAGGGTGGTGACAATAGCAGTTACTGTGAGCTCAAGCGTTTTTGACTTCTCAATTTCGTCAGCTTACTGTTTCCTTGGAGAAGACTGCGGTGCCATGAAGCCGCGTTGAGGCTCCAATGGGCACAGAACAAGATCAAAACAAAACAGAACAACTGAAAACGGCGCATCATCGGAATTGGTGAATACAAGTTACACATTTGGATTTCCCGGACAGCGCTGGGCCATGCGGGTAAAACTGTCGTTCTATGTTGGATACCCAGCGACGTGGGCACCGCAGGTCATGAGCTGGCCAGCGCGGCGGCAAAACGAGCAGCGCTGCACCGTGCACCCGCACGGTACCCCTACCGACCAGGAGCTTTTATCCTGTCATTACGGCACTTATCAAAGGAAAAGGACAGGACTACAGGACGTCACAGCAAACAGTAAGCTGAAAGCCATTAAGCCACAGCCAAACTTGTGGCGTCGAGCTCACACGACGTGATACGTGAAGAAGTGGTCTTCCGCCGAATACACATACGCACGTGACGCAGGGCTCTCTTCTGCACGGTGAAGAACGGCCTCACTGCCCTCGCTGCGATGCGCCACTTACAGTTCACCACATTATTTACCTCCGTCCACATTTACGGAAGTCTCTCAGTCATTAGAGAGGAACATTTTCCACATAGATAAGATAGGGGTGCCGGTAGTGTAATGGTTAACGCATCTGCGTTAACCACTGCGCGTCTGGGAAACCAGAAGTACGGGGTTCGATTCCCCGCGGTGCCCGCCCTTCCTGCCAGGATGAGAGGCAGGCGACGCCATATAGCCTCAGCAGCTGGGAGCGTTGTAAAGCCCCAGTGACATGAAGTGACATGTATAAGATAGGCAATGTTAAATTCACTTCTGCGATTGGTTCGATGAAGGCATGTTGCCGAAATTTCAACCGAACTATATCTCCATTCCCTGGTTTTTCTCCGAGGAATAAGGCTATTGCTACTCTCTTATCTGACCATATGCCAGTGAAGAGCAGTTACGCTATCTCGGACGAGACGTTCCAGCTCTTACCTATTCGGACATAATCGGCGATGACTCGAGTATTCTTGTGATGGCTCCGCTGTTTTCATTTTTGACTAATGTAGGGTTTTTAGCCATTTGCACACATAGGTAGTCACTCAGTTGTTGTCGGCGCCAACTGGCCTTACCTATCGGCGTGCCTTAAAATCCTAATCAAGTAACAATGAAAACGGCGCCAAAGTACTTCCCCAGCACTTTTTTTGTCGCGTCCACTGCGCCGTAGGCAGAATCGAGGCGTACAAAGTCTCCGGGCGCAAAGTACTCTCGTCTTTCCGTGACATGGCAGTTCCCACCTCCCATATGGCGTTTACGTTAAAACTTCGCAGAAATGTTGCCGCGCAAAGCATCGAACGGCTGCCACTGTGAGTGTCCCATGACCGTCTGTGTGTGTGTGTGTGTGTGTGTGTGTGTGTGTGTGTGTGTGTGTGTGTGAGTGTGCGTGTGCGTGTGCGTGTGCGTGTGCGTGTGCGTGTGCGTGTGCGTGTGCGTGTGCGTGTGCGTGTGCGTGTGCGTGTGCGTGTGCGTGTGCGTGTGCGTGTGCGTGTGCGTGTGCGTGTGCGTGTGCGTGTGCGTGTGCGTGTGCGTGTGCGTGTGCGTGTGCGTGTGCGTGTGCGTGTGCGTGTGCGTGTGCGTGTGCGTGTGCGTGTGCGTGTGCGTGTGCGTGTGCGTGTGTGTGTGTGTGTGTGTGTGTGTGTGTGTGTGTGCGTGCGTGTGCGTTTGTGTGCGTGTGTGTGTTCGCCGCTGCGCGGGCCCGACCTGTCTGCGGCCACCCTCACGCTGCCGGTGACGTCGCTCAGGTGCGCATCCGCGATGGCCACGACGACCCGGGCCTGGCCGGCCAGTCGGGCGTGGTGCGCAGCGTCTCGGTCGGCGTGTGCTCCCTCTTCCTGCCGGACGAGGACCGCGTCGTCAACATGGTGGCCGACCACCTGGAGCCCGTGCGCCCGCAGCGCGGCGACCGTGTCAAGGTCATCCTAGGTCAGTCCACCACCGCCGCGGCTCCCGCTGAGCGTCGACGGGCGCTGGAGACGTCGGTGACTGGTGTCCGGGCTTGGGAAAGGTTTGCCGTTTGACCGGCTTTGGCGCACTTTGTTCATGCTTGTGTTGCGTTTGTCAGCGTTGTCGTACTGCTTTGTGTCTTGTGTTGCGTTTGTCAGCGTTGTTGTACTGCCTTGTGTCCTGTGTTGCGTCTGTTAGCGTTGTCGTACTGCCTTGTGTCTTCTGGCTCCGGCATACGATTTTTTTCTGTTTCCGTCTTGTTCTAAGTTCTTATCGTTACCAAGGTTTTGTTTGGCTGTTGTCAGTGATAGCTCGTGTGTATGCGCACCGATGCGTTCCCTCCCCCGGTGGGCTGTCACTGGGCCATGGCCGATCGGCCCGTGGGCCATACGACGCTGCGTCCGGACTCGAGAGGTAATCAGACCGCAAGGATAGGTGTCGCCCGAAGCGTCGCCAGCCGACCAACCGACTAGGGCGTCGGGTGACATGGTCACGGCCGGGCTCCCCTTTCAAATAACCGTTGAATCATTCATGAACGATAAGTGGTGTGGGTGAACGCGCTGTGACGTGCGGAAGCCTCTCATGTTGAGCCCCTACAGACCGTCGAGCCCTGCCGTGCGTGGGTCCGCTCCCGAGCCCTGGCCATGTGCCGGGGTGGGTCGGAAGTGGGAGGAGCGGGTGTACTTCAGTCCTGGAACAGAGCGCTATAAGCGGGCACCGCCGCCGTCACCCGCCAGCCTGGCGTGCGTGTGATCAGTTACTTCGGTGGGTATGGCCGTCGGCGGTGAGTTCACACCCCGGCGGCAGTCTGCGGCGACGACCGTGTTCCGTACCGCCAACCCTTCAGGGTCAGCGCACGGCCAAGGCTGCGCCGCCGCCGCCGCCACCGCCGCCGCCGCCACCGCCAGCCGTCGTCGTCCTGCGTCGCTAGGCTGATTCGGTCTAATTGTAAAGGTGCGCAATCAGCGGTGGGTCAGCACCTGCTCGTTACGGACTGCACGGACCGTACCGGCCGCCCGGGAGCGGGCCAGCGACGGCGGCCCCGGCGCATCGTTAGGCGCGTCTCGCCGCCGGGCGCGCGGCGATGCCGGCGCGCGCGCCGCTCATCCGGGAAGTACCGCCGCCGGGCGTCGTTTCGCGTGAACCGCTTGCCCTGCGCCGCCCGCGCCGGCCGGGCCTGCAGAGTTGCGTAGTCCGCCCCGCTGGGGTGGCGCAATAGGTGCAGGGGTTGCACGGCACCTAACGAGGACACGTCTTGCGTGGGACCTGATCCGTGACCTGACCTGGCCGGCCGAGTTCATACGTACGCCCGGCGTCGCGGGCCACCAGCTGGCGTGTCGGTGCACCACCAGGCTGGCCGGAGCAGCCGTCCTGGCCACGGACGCGGCGGTGCCGCAACGATGCAGTCTCCAGCAGGAGAGTATTGCGTTTTGTCGGCGCATTAGAATAACAGATTTCCCCACTTATTGGGGCGGTTGTATACACTTGAGAACTAACGCATCACCATTTTGAGCCGTGATACCGAATGCCACATCAATGCACGTGATGTGATTTCTGTATCAGTGTTTGTTTCATCGGAAATCAAGTTTGGCACTAGTTAAGCACCCCTATATTTCCAGCCCAAGCTATGTCGGCGCTATCACAAATGTGTAACAAGTGGAACTCTTCAGCAGGAAAATCTGCAAGCATCATCATGATATATTTCGGACCGCGCAGCCGAAGCGCCCTAAAGCCGTAACTACCACTATCATGATATATTTCGGGCTGATCATTTGATATGAATTTCGTGCGCTGGCGTTCAAACGATCAGAACAGCGAACAATCAAGCGGAGGAACAAAGAACTTGCACGCGTAGAGACTGGCACACATACACGCAGCTGTCAGGCCGAAAAAACGCACATTCGGGTCATCCTCTGTTGAACCTGGCTGCGGGCCGCGTGTCGCGGCCAGCCGCCCCTTCAAACCAGTTTCGGCAAGTCTCAACCAATATCACTGGCTAACCTAGAGCATAGGAAAGTTTCTTTTTGCTTGGGGAGCACCTGGGAACGCGATTAGGTATTGACTGGTTCATTCCTTTCATTACATTCATGTTGTAGGTCGCGTGATATTGGCCGCAGGCATGGTGCGTTCTAGGGGGTAACGCAATGCCGTGTTTTTATTAGAACAGGAAGACAACCTAGGGTATCGGTGCGACGTTAGCCCCGATTGGAATATAGGTGTGACGTGTTCATTGTTTGGGAGGTCTGGCCCAAACACGGCTCGGTGGCGCGGATCACAGTCTCCGGTTAACCGGCCAGGCGGTAAAGGTGGCGCGCGCCGGCGGCGTGCAAGAAGCATAGAGGCGTGAACCCCACGCGTGCTCCGGGGTTGTGATTCGCGATGTCGGGCTAAAGAGTATGGGGCGGGCATGTGGCACATGGGTGGTCGGGGTGGCGTCTTCAATTGACTTGTTACGCAGGATGGGTCGGATTTTAGCTGGGTGCTCCTTAGTTTGCCGCACTGAGGACCCTGGGCCACCGCCGACCAGCCGGCGTTTTTCCGCCATGAGAGGGCTTTGCAACGCCGGACATGGTTATAATCGTGTTAAATGTGCCAAACTGTGTTATAATCGTTGCAGCTGCGCTGCAGCAAATTCTCACTCATGTGCATATGCCTACCGATAACTTGCTCTGAGCTTGACGCATGCACACGTTATTGCGCATGGCTGCGTAGTGGGCCATGGTGCGTAAAAGTATGTGCTACATTCGTGCAGCACTATAATGCCTCTCTCAAGAATTAACGTCATACATCAGGAAAACAGTGGCAGTGGAGTCATATCTCAAAGGCCGAACTTCCTGTAAGCTCAACGGCTTTGTTTGCACTCCTTACGCTGGCCTGGTGTGTGGCGTTAGCGCCCGCACGACGCGCTGTTGTCAGACTGCGGCGGGCGTGCGGTAACGCGGAACTCACGTGACGCCCGTGCTGTAGCTTGCCTACGCCGGGTCCGCCGACATCGTGGCTGTTTCATGATGTAGGTTGTTTCAGACAGTTTGACCAAGGCGAGGAAACTAGATAGTTCGACACTGATGAGGATCGATCTCAGGACCTCTTTAGTGCGACTCGGCGCTACTTCCACCGTAAAATATTGCGCCCGCTAGTGTGTCAAAATCGCCTCGACAAGGCTACCATGAATACTGTACCGTCTTCGCCACAGCCTCGATGGAGATCAGAAGCAGTAAAAAATGACACCCGTTCGTTATTGAATGACACCCGTTGGTTATTTAATGACGCCCGTTCGTTATTTAATGACACCGTTCGTTATTTAGCAATTTCGGATGGCGAGCATTGGTACATAACTTCGGAAGACTGAATGCACGAAAAGGGTCCAAAACTCTAAGACTGGACGTATAAGGCGTACACGGTGTCATTTTTCATCCCAATCGGGGATTTGGGCACACGGAATGCAATTGCATTGTCTGAAGACGAAAATGGAGTATTAGTTATTATATATATTAGTTATTATATATTATATATATAGTTATGATTGTATTATATTAGTATTAAAGTATTTATCAAATCACGCTGCTAGAATGCCCGGACACACCATTGCTGTGCAGTGCTACCTCATTCACATGAGTGCTTACATCATATTGGGTTACGCTTTCTGACCGTCAGAAACAACGTGCGAACAATGGGGCCTGGTTTTCAATGCTGCTGCGCACTCATGCCTCCCCGGGATCCCGTGTAGCTGCGATACAAGCGCGCCGATCGTGGTACCGCCTGCGTCGGCGGGGGCCAACCATCGGGTCGTGTCCCACCCTGGTCTGATGAGGCGGCCGGTGTCCGGCCGGCGGGCGCGCGAACGGCCCCGCGGCCGCGCCTGGACGTGCTCTGTGTGGGCATGTGCGCGAACCGACGCCGCCTGCTCCCCGGCCGCGTGCAGTGCCGAAAGCGCCGCATAAATCGCGGCAAGCGGTGCCGAGCTGAGTGGCGTCTGCCCCGGTTGGGTCGGATGGAGGCGTCCTTCGCAGTCCTCGCTGGTTGCGCCAGAGCTGGCGGCGCCTCTGCAGGGCCGGCGGCCGTTCGTCTGGCGGCTGGCGCGCGGCGGCGTCCTCGCCGCTCGGGCGGCGGGACTGCGCGGTGGTTCCCCGACGCGGCGCGTCTGCTCGCCCGTCCGTCCGTCCTTCACCGGCGCCAGGGGCCGCACGGCGGCGAGCGGTACGCCAGGTGCGGCGTCGCCGCCGGCCCTGTGCAACGCCGGGCGTCGGCCGGCTGTTGAGACATGGATGAGTCGGACGGACCTCATTGGGAAGAGGGTGGCACAACCGGAGCCGCGCGTGGACGGCATCGGTCGCGCCCCCGCGGCTCCCCCCCCCCCCGTGGCTGTGCCGGCCGACGTGCTCCTGTGACCGCCGGCGCCGCTCGTGCGCGGCCGTGTTCACCTGTTTGTATTGTTACAAACGGATACACGCTCCACATTTGTTAGACCTTGTCACGTGGAAGGCTTAGTCCTTGCAGGGTGCAGTGCGCAGCGCGTGACTGAACTCACATAATGGCACTGCGTGGGAGCGGCTCTGGGTGAGGCGACTTTGGCAGGTGGAGTAACGCGTCGCTGTTGGAGAGCCGCTGTCATGGCACTGTATGGCCCAGCCGGACTGTATACGTTTGGCGCGATTAGGCAGGGTTTCACAAGGGAACATCAGCCGGTTTGTCGGCGTGACCTGCGCCTTGCGCAGCCCGATGCGCTGGGGGGAGGGGGGGGGAGGGCTTGGCCGTGAGGCTCTGGTCAAGGTGCTGCTCCTACTGCGCGCCGTCCTTGTCACGAGGGAAGCCCCCCCCCCCCCCCCTGGCAGTATCGGTGGATTATCGCCTAAGTCACAGCCATATCCAGGTAGCCAGGGACGCCTCGGATCAGACGATAAGGGTCATACCCGCAAAAAGGGTATCTGTCTTGTTTAGCGCGTTCGGTGACTGATGTGATAGTGAAATCAGTAGGTGCAACTGTTGGCGGTTTGTGTTTATGCTAAATGGGGCGCGAAGCGAACCGTGACATCGAAACGACGCAGAACGACGCTGCAACTGTTGGTGACCGCCACAAGCACGGTCAGATGGAGCCATTGCGTCACGGCGCGCCGCCCATGCATTACCCCGGTGCAGATTCCAGCGCTTGAGGCTTTGAAAGGCACATGGTCGGCAGCGGTTTGCCGCGTAAGGGGTGCCGATCGGCAGTAGTGTGGCATGTTGGCTTCATCAGGCTCATCACCCCACTTTAAGGTAGGCTGTGGGAAAGTTACGTGCCGGCCAGTAGCCGTCTGTGAATACCAAATTTGTTCCAACGATGTGCAGTGAATTTGGGACAACCCAGTGTGAAATAACGCACGCCATCAATTACGTCTTTCTGGGTTCCAGGGCAGTATCTTATCATAAGAGTCGTGGCCCGAGTGCCTTGTGTGCACCCGCGCTTTGATTATTTATTACCATGATTTACGTTTTCAATTACTATTTATAACTTTGTTTTACTGCTGGGAGAAGTCCATGCTGCACGGCAGTTGTTGTGCTCTGCGTGGAGCTGAAGTAGTTCATCATTCAATGAAGGCCCTCCACCCATACGTGGCGAGTCATGGCTACGCTTCTGGTGACAGGTATGTCCCAATCATAACAGCGGCGCGCTAGGAGGGATGCTTGAGGCAGGGACGTGCAGGCAAGTGAATATGAATAATGCAAACGGTTCCTAGATAACAGGGCGTGCCGTATTTTTTTCTGAAGAGGAATGTGCATGCGACGGGAGTGCGTGGTAAACGGCAGAACATGTCGCCATCAACGGTCACTGTGATTGGAGCATTGTAACAGGCAATACTGAGCATTGCTGTTTTTGGGTCTGGTTTTTCTGGTTTTCTGGCCTGTTTTCATGGCACTGCATTGCACAAATCGGACCGCATGAGAACGTCCATCGGCCCAAATCTCAAAAAGTACCTGTCAGCGTTTAGTTGTGTCATGACTTCAAATGCTGTCACATTGGGTCGGCCAGTGCGGTGCGCAGCGTTGCTTCGGCTGCAGCGCGGGTGGACCTCCGTGTGGGGGCGGCCGGGCGGTGCCTGTGCCAACTGAGGCCGACGCCTGTCCGAGCCGGGCTTCGCGGCGGCAGGCGGCCGGGGCAGCGCCGCGGGGGCCGGGGCGGCGCCGCGGGGGCCGGGGCGACTCCGCGGTGGTCGCCGGCCGACCTGCCGGCCCAGTCGGCCGCGTAATGGGCCGTGCCGTGTCAAGGCGGCCGGCGGCGGCCAGCCGGCCGGCCCTGGCGACCGCCGGCGTGACGGCGGCGCCGTGACCGCAGGCCGGCCGCCGGAAGACCTGCCGCCCGCCCGGTCACGCGCCGCGGGCCCGGTGCCGTGCCGCGGACGGTGCTGCCGCGGCTCGCGGTGCTGCCGGCCCGAGGGCCGCCCTCGGGTACGTGGCCCGGCTGGTTCCGCAGTCGGAGGGGTTCAGACGCTCCCGCACCCAGGCTGGGCCGCCACGCCTCGCCTCTGGAGACAGCCGCGTCATGGGCTACCCAGCGTGGGTAATACGGCCATGACTCCCGGTTAACATACTTGCCCACGTCCCACGGCTGGTACCTCGGGCGTAGTAGGTGCTGGATTCCATGCGTCGCGGGGTCAATTCTTTCTGCCATGAGCCGCAGTAGGCCGCTGTGCTGGAGCAGTCCAGCAAGTGGTTTGAAGCCTTCGGCCTGGATTGAAAACCTGATCACGAGGCTGGGTTTGCCGCGGCCCGTGTTGGGAGGCACGTGATTACCGTAGCCATGGCGCCAGCGGCGTTCTTTTTGAGTATTATTGTATATTATGTGGGAGTATTCGACCCGTGATCGTAAGCGTGACTCGGCGTTGTGGTCTAACCTCTTCATTCTACTTTGACGGCCATTGGGATGCAGATATCGTAATACAGTGCGCTTGTTTTTTGTCTGTCCGTCGTAATACAGTCTGTCACATTCCCTGCTGAGTCGCGGACCAGGAGGAGCCGGTCTGGCATCTGCGCGCCGGCTGCTGTGGCCCAGTTTTCTGTCCGTCGTAATACGGTCTGTCACGTTCCCTGCGAGCCGCGGACCAAGAGAAGCCGGTCTGGCATCTGCGCGCCGGCTGCTGTGGCCCAGTTTTCTGTCCGTCGTAATACGGTCTGTCACGTTCCCTGCTGAGCCGCGGACCAGGAGAACCAGGTCCGGCATCTGCGCGTCGGCTGTTGTGGCCCAGTTTTCGCGACACATCATTCCCGTAGTATTTCCGCCCCACCGTCAGGCGATCTGTCGAGCCTGCCCAATCCCGGCGCGTGGCCGGGCCGCGGTCAAGGCGGCGACCCCCCCCCCCGCAGTCTCGAACCTGTTCAGCGGCGTCCTCGGCTCGTTGGAGTCTCGCGCCTGCTGAGGCTGCGTCCAACCCCATTCTCCGGAACGTGAATGGGGAACGTGGTCCTCGCTGACCGGTGTCGCAGGAAACTGACCGGCGTCAGTTGAACCACCTCTCGCGTGTCGCTGTCACCTGCAACGCCAGCCCGACGCATTTCCTGCGGCGTCATGAGACATGCTCATGCTATTTGGCACTAAGCCTTTCCTGTCCTTTCGCATATGTTTTGGTGCAGCGCGAAGCTGAACTAGCAGGCAAACTGAACTGCGCATTTCGTGCATAGACCTTTCTCGGGGCTGCTTTTCCCCGCCTAGAGGGAAAACAAGGCATTGTTTACAATAGTTGGTCGCATTGACCCAGTTCATTTTTCTAGCTCTAGAAGTTTGTCACGCACTGCGCGGCGACGCCGTCAGCCGCTCCCACATGTCAGATGGCTGCTGAGATAATTGTTTTGCAGCCATTTGTTAAAGCACGCAGAAGCAAACTGCCTCGGTGTTTTAGACTACGCCGTAAATGCAGACCGCTGTCACTGAACAGGGACCCTTTTTGAAGCAGTGTACACCTCGTTCAATTCCTGGCAGCGTGATGTCGAGCCGTGTGAACCCTGTGGACCGGCAGAGCATGTGCTGCATAGCAAACCCGGGCGGCATGGGCCTGGTATTGGGAGGACACAATGTACCGTCTTCCCAAGTGAAGCAATTTGCTTCATCCCTCCCCCCGTTTCTGGGTCTGAATATGAACATTGCATTCCGGTCATGCATGTTCCGGTACATATCGCGCAGCGATGGCACAGTCTTGAATCTTAATCGTGTGTGTTTGGTAACGAACTCCACATAAATGGCGCTTGCCCGCCTGTATGCCGCATCATCGTCCCGCCGCCTTGAAATGCGCCTTTGGACGCCTGTCGTCGCCGTCGGCCCGCTGAGCAGGGCAGTGCGCCGGCAAAGCTGTCTCGTGCACCGAGTCGCGCTGCTGACGCGGCCGGCTGTCTCTGCTGCAGGGGAGGACCGCGAGGCCAGCGGCCAGCTGCTCTCCATCGACCACCAGGAGGGTGTCGTCAAGCTGGACCAGGAGGACGTCAAGATGCTGCAGCTGCGCTACCTCTGCAAGCTGCACGTCTGAACGACTTCGGCGGTCGACACCCGATGGGGAGAGAGAGCGAGAGGGGGATGGGAAGGGGGGCGTCCGGCGCTACCGTGCGGCGCTCTGTAACCGGGGCAGTGCCGTGGCCGTCACCGCGCCGGCCACCGGCGCCAGGCTCGTGTCCTCTCTTTCGCGTGGTCGCCGTGGGAAGTTGGCGCCGGCCGACGACGCCGGGCGCACGCAGCGGCCTCTCCGGCCGTCGGTGTCGGTCGCTGCCCGACGGGCGCGCCGGTCCAGGGGCGCCGCTGCGTGTTGCAGGGGCGAGGCGATGACCGTGTTTACTTTCACTGTGTTTGCCGTGGAGGACATCGCGGACCGTTTGCCAACGCGTCCGCCGGGCTCCCACGGCGTCGGCGGAGGCGGACCGTGCCGCTCGACTCGCATCGGCCCCTGCCGTCGCTCGCCGTCCGAGCCGGCCGCCAGCGCCGCCTCTTCCTTTCGACGAACTTCGCTGGCCGACTGGCCAGTCCAATACACTGGTGACCCGGGCGTTGGTGTGTTTGGTGGGGGGGGGGGGAGGGGGGCGGGGCATACTGCCGTCCAATACACTGGCGACCCGGGCGTTGGTGTGTTTGCGGGGGGGGGGAGGGGCATACTCGGTGCGTTGCCTGCCGGCTGCCGCTTCCGGGTCGAGGAGGCCCCGTCTGACCGCTCCGGGCCGTTGGGGTCTGTCCGGCCTCCTTCCGGGCTGTGGGGGTCCATCTGACTGTTCCGGGCCGTGGGGGTCCGTCTGGCCTCCTTTCGGGCTGTGGCGGTCCGCCTGACCTCGCTCCGGGCCGAGGAGGCCCCGCCTGACGCAACGCATCTCACCGTGGCCTGAGCCGACCCCGTCTAGTAACGTAAGCGGGGTGAGTAGGGTTACCAGTCGTAATCAGCCAGCCATGCGGAATAAGTATTTGTAGGTTGTAGCGGTTAGTTTGAACATACAATGATTGGCTCACGCCTTTTGCTCACCCGGTGCTTGGGTCGCGTCAGGTGCAACATAGTGCAGTGAATTATTTGGCGCTCCAAGTTGCCAGTTCTTATGTTCATTTAACGACCTTCAATGTACCAGTGGTTACTGGTTAAACGATGTTGGAGTGATGCGTGAACGATATTGACAGTACCGTCAACTTAATCGTCCTTGAGTTCGAAATAATGAATAAAACTTTACAACAATCGTGTCGAAAGACCAGGAGCTGAGGGCTTTTCTTCTCGCAAATAATTTGGTACTTGTACATCATGGCTTACTAGCATTTTAACGTCTCCATTGCACTATGCTGGAGTATGGGAACTTTGATGGTGAACGCGCCGGGTATTGTCATGTCTTAAGCTGCGTGAGACGCCTACTGATTATGTTTTTGGACTTCTTGCGAAATCCAGTGATAGTGAGACATGGGGCTGTAAAGGTATGTGGATATTGTGTGCTCTAATAAGGAAAAGAAGCCGGGAAGTTCGCGCGTTCATATTCGCTAACGCCACGCCATGTCGGGCACTCGTTCCTATTTCTTACCGCCATACAACGTCGGGCACGCGTTCCAATTTGCTACCGCCATGCAATGTCGGGCAGACCTCATCACGTTAAATAAATGCGTGACGGTGGATTGCCGTGTCTGTATGACAGTTATGGACCGCTACATAGTTACCAGATAATTCCGGCACATCCATCGTCAATTTGCTGAGAAACAGCAATGTTAACAAGAAGAGTCCGTGCATAGACTCTTTTACTTCGTCAGAGACAAAGAAGAGGATTCTTCAAGAATTCTTTAGTAGTGGAAACACGGTGGGCAACACAACGGCAGCATTATGAGTTATTTACAGGTGAGCTAGCAAAGCAAAACCTTGGGCCCTGGAAAAGGCGAGAACCCTTGACACGATGACACACTAATGGCCAGTTACTGGCCGTTCAACGTTTTGGGGTATCCCTAAATGGAGGAGGTCAGAGCAGTTACACAATGCAAGAAACCCGACAACTTCGCTTCAGGTTGCCCAGGGGTGCACCTCGGTGTCTAGCATTACGAAAAGGTGTCACTGTTTCTCAACCCCTGCTGCGAATTCAGACGCCAATCTCGTCCTGTAATTGGGTAGAGGAAGTGTTTGGAACTCACAGGAAGTCAGTTTGAAACCCCCGTGAAATCCCGGTTGTCATGGTGGTTATCCCTGTGGCATCGGAGAAAACTCGCGCATAACGCTGTTTTTGCCTCGGCTGGTTGCGCGCGTTATGCTGGCGTTGTGAGAGGTATATGGCTGATTTAAAACGCTACATTGCAGGTAATACTTGCAAGGAGCATTGGAATCCAGCTGTCGCTCTACACGCCGTTCACTTCATTTGAGGTGCTCGTTTTGTTTTAATGGCTTATCCGGCGCAGTGATGTGATGCCGTTCCATAACCACGCCAAACGAAATTCTAAAAGTAGGGCTTGGGATGAAACATCGATGTGTGGATGAACATCGGGAATCTGCCAACATCGGCTTTGAAGTGCTAACCCAGATATGAGTTTATCAATGGGATGATGATTCTTGGTTGTTATTCAAGGGAGTATTACATGGAATATTATTGCGTCAGTGATCTGTGTACTGCCTGGTGTCAAGCATCGCTTTGGTTGGTTGTTAAATGCTATTAGGATGTAGTGAAATATAAAAAACCACTGAACACAATTTAAGCTATCCTGCCAGTATGGTATCATACCATACCATATCAGTTCGGTATTTTAAATATGCTGAATATAATACATCGGCAGAACTGTTCACTGGGCACCAGTAACTGGCCGTCCACACAAGGCGGATGGCCGTGTGACACAAGGCGGGTGCTGCCGGCTCTGGACCTGCCCGGCTTTGTACCCGCAGATGGGCGTCGTCCCAGTCGTCAGCGGCGTTGCAGCCCCGGCGCCGCACGCCTATCCGCGGCTGCGGGCCAAGCTACGGGTGTCCGTGCGCCACGGGAGGTCGTCCACCCGGCTTCATGTTCCTGCGTCTGCCCGCCAACCCGTAGACCATGTCACTGTCCACCCGCTGATCACGTGGCTGTTCGTGCGAGCCCACCACGAAAGAGCGCCTGCGTGGTATATCATCATGAAAGCGACAGACAAGCTGCCTGAGGCATGGCATTTCGAGCTGCGGCGCCAAGGCGTGTCCAATTCCGCATTAGGCCACGCGACGGATACATAAATACTGCGTCCGTGGCTATCTAGGGCCAGTAAGTTCGCTTTAGCCATTTACAATGAAATGGTTTTAACTGAATGATAGTACTTTTTACAATCCTACAATCGCCAAAATCGCAGGAGAATAAACCGCAAGAGACTCCGCCTGACTCAGGCTTAAAAACGCAGTCTAAAGCTCGGCCACATTGTTTTTTCAATACCGGCAAACTGGCAGCCCGAACGGGCCGAGCCGCCCTGGTGTACCGCGACGCGCCGGCGTGCGGCGAGCTGACATGTATGACCACGCATGCCGGCCAGCTGCCTGGTTGCCGAGATTTCTGTCCAGGATCCGGTTCCAGCCCGTCTCTGTTTCCTGATGCCGGAGCGACGAGAGCCGAGGAACCGGTTTGAAATCGATTCGGCGGTCCAGCAATAACCGGGATCCAACGCTGAATTGAGCTTGGAAGACCAGAAAGGAAATCATAAGTTTGGAACCGAGCGGACGGATCCCACAACAAGGCAAGACCTAAGCCATGTCAGCAAGGTGTCCAGGTGTCCAGCAAGAACCAAGATTCAGCCTGCATTGTGCCGATAGATCCAGCAAGAGCAAACGTTTATCCAATAATATGACCACAGATCCCTCATGAACCCAGAGCCAGCTTAAAAATGCAAGGGGATCCAGCAATGGCCAAGATGCACCATAAAGTCAAAGGTACCAACGAGAACCAGGATCTGAACTGGCAGCCTTGTCAGAAACCATTACGTATTCGTTTGATGAGCTTACTTGAAGCATTGTGCACATGCAAATGTTAATGACGTCTGTGAGATATTTCTGATTTCAGAGATCATTTCAGTTTCAGAATGTTGTCAAATGGTAGCCCGAGCTAGGGTTAACGAATGAGCCAGCGACAAACGGGAGTCGGGATTAAACGGTTCGTGATTGAATTAATGGAAAGCAGAAACAAGCGTGTGGTGTTCGTGGTGAACTAAGTGAAACTAAGAACCCATCTATTGAGTTCGGGAAAAATCGGTAAGAACTAGGAGCCAAAGCCAACAGTTTGTGAGGTTTGCTGTTTGCGAAAAGTGATTTGGATACTTAAACTGTATTTTTTTGCGACATGGGTTAGTATAAAATTCAAGGTCAACTAGGCACACATAGTGACCCAGTTTTACCCTTAAAATCATTTTCTGAAAGATTGCTTTTTAATTCCACAAAAGACCCTACCAAAGCAGAGGTAGATGAAGAAGGCCGTAAGGCTCAAAAGGTCATAAGGATAGCTGGAGCGCTAGTTGTAAACCTTACTAAATGTACAGATTGCAACACCAGGAGGGAGGCAAGCAAACAATAGACAAATGATGGCTAAAGATAGTGACTTGGCGAGGCAAGCGTTGTTTAAATGTTTTTACGAGTTATCTATTCTGCCCGCGGTTTACTTCAGTTTCTGTGAATCGATGCTCTATTTCTTAACAAGCGGGGGATTATGGTAGAGCTGTCGACTTGTGATGCATTATGCATTGTGTCCATATAGATCTGATGGTGAAGAAGCTGAAAGCTTAGCTCCATAGGCAGTATCGACTACAAAAGACGGTTCTGCATCTTTACTCTCTCGCCTTTGTGACTGACTGGGCAGACGCTTCTTTTAGAATGACTCACTACATGGTTGGGAAGAGGTGAGATTTAAAAAAGCTTCCTGGTCTGCTGCTAGATGTCCTCAAGGCAAAAAAGGCCTGAGCACTTGTATGTGGAGACCAAGAAAGTAAAGCTTGATCTTCCAGTCGGAGGAGGTCAGCCGGATGTCCTTCGGGCAGGGACGACTGTCACGGTCCGGCAGAGCGATGGAACCAAAACTGGGGTGCAATAGAGGCTTCTCTTCGGGTCCTGCGTGAAATGTATAGCACTCACAAATGGGCTAAAACAACTTTTATTTATTTGGTTTGTTGACATTTGGTTCACATCGTGCCGAGGCACTTCATTTTGCATACTGCATCGGTAGATATTCGGCATGCGTGTGCGCATACAAAAGGCCAAAGCTACGCGCATCCGTTCACGGCCTTCCTGATCTGAAATGATGTCACCTTTTCGATCACGCTGCATGTGACGCGGAATATCGCGACTGCGTAGTGAAGGATTGCGAAGACTGCACTGGTGAAGACAGAGTAACATACTGTTCAAGTCTTATCCTCTCGGACAAGTCATGTCGGACAAGTCGGGTATTAGGTTAACCCAACTCTTGATGATATGGATGGAGAGATTAGATACAAACAGTGGGGAAGCACGATCGCTGTGCGCTTATAGAAATGGTCCAAACAAAAGACGACCAGCATGGCATTTCTTAGCCATGATATCGCAAATCTGACTAATTT